GGGGGGGACGGGGACGACTCCACAAGCATTAGCATGTACTTTCCAATTAGAAGTTTGTTTTCAAATTGCAGGGGACCCAAGGACTTGCTATCTGCAATACTTACTGATGGGCACATCACAGTTCTCTATATCTTATATTTTTTAATGTGCTTTAGTGCCTAAGTTGCTATCAACTTTGGGGCAAAGCTCATTTCATACTAAGTAGCCTATTAACACAGTCCTGCTAGGCGGTGGCGGCACACACCTTTAATCCCAGCACTCTGGAGGCAGAGGCTGATGGACCTGTGAGTTCAAGGCCAGCTTGGCCTACAGAACAAGTTCCAGGTAGACGAGTGCTACACACAGAAACCCTGTCTTGAAAACCAAACCAAATCAAAATAAAACAAAATACCGAAGTCCCAAAACTGCAACATATTCTAGGTATTTACAAGTGACATGCGATTCTAGACTGTGCATCATACTATAGTATTCTGGGTGTTTGGAAACATGTAGAAAACACACACACACACACACACACACACACACACACACACACACACACACACACCCTCCTCCACTCCCCTAGGAAAATAAGGGTTACCATTTCATGGACTTGAAAAAGCCATACTGGCTGTGTGGTGGGACAGTTTTCAATCCCAGCTTTCAGGAAGCAGTGGCAGGCAGACCTCTGTGAGTTCAAGACCAGCCTGATCTAAGTAGCAAGTTTCAGATCAGCCAGGGCCACATAGTGAGACCCTAGCTACGAGGGAGGGAGAAGTGATATTTTTCATTTTTATGGTGGTCTTACCCCCACTGCTCCACAAAAACTTACGAAATGCCTTCAAGTGGCAAGCCCAGCTATCTTTGTGTCTCTACTAATTATAATAAAACTCTGACCCATGCCACACGTCTGCTGTGCGTCTGGCATTGTTCTGCGAGCTCTCTACTGGCCCCTTCCATCCTCAGTAGTCCCCTGAGGAGACTGTCACAGAGCAGTTGAGTTGCTCCCACAAGTGACACTGCCAGCAGTTGGTGACCGGGGCTTAGCATTCTAGCTGACCCGACTCGGGGCTCAGCCTCTTCTTTCTGCACGGTGTGGCCCTTGAGACAGCTCTGGCGGGGAAGGGACTCACGCGCAAGGAAGGCTGCGTTCCACCGTGTGTGGTAAAGTACATCTTTATCATATTCCTGCTCTCGTGAGGACTAACCAGGTAAACAATATGCAGCAAGAAGCTCTGTACTGGGTTCCACCGTGTGTGGTTATGTACATCTTTATCATATTCCTGCTCCCGTGAGGACTAACCAGGTAAACAATATGCAGCAAGAAGCTCTGTACTGGGTTCCACCGTGTGTGGTTAAGTATATCTTTATCATATTCCTGCTCTTGTGAGGACTAACCAGGTAAACAATATGCAGCAAGAAGCTCTGTACTCGGGAGAGCCTGCCGAAGTAATCCTGGCACTAATTAGTTAGTAAGGGAAACGAAGGACCAGAAATTGAAGGAGGAAACAGACATCCAATGGTGAAAATATGGAACCACATGGAGCCAGGGGGGACGTATTCCCTGGAGTACAGTGAGGGCCCTGATGGATACAGGGTCATTATCGGCCAAGTGGCTCCCA